GTTCGCACGTGGTAGATGGCCATTCATGCAGGCATGACAGAATCCCTTTGCGCGCTAGAGTGCGAGCTGTCAACGGTGCGCAGAGGTTCGGCTGTTCCTGCACATGGCCTACGCCTGCGTTGGTTGGTGTGTGAGTGGGGCCCTCCATGTGAGCTGCGCGCAGGCCGCGCGGAGTGAACTTCCTGAACAACGGGGCGCAATGGTTTGCGCAATCAGGTGCACACATAGGGCGGGCGACAAGCACGTGGAGCAATGCTGAAACAACGCCCGTCAAACATCGAAATTGGTCGGGAGTCTTATGACCCGGGTCAGTCCAGACCCGGGTCAGCAGGAAACCAAAGACTGCAACGCAGGAAAAAAAAACTGCAACGCAGGTCTTCGCAAACCCGGGTCAGCCAATAGGCGCGGCCGCCTGGCGGCCACTCGCGGCTCGCTCACCCGGGTCAGCCAGAGGGGGCCTTCGCAGGATCCTGCGGGATCCGGCGCTCTGGCTGACCCCCGTCTGCATTGACCCCCGCCTCAAGGCTCCCGACTTGGGCCGGGCCGCGTTTTTGGTGCAAACCAGGATATCCAAACACGTGCGCTCTGGCTTGCGACGCGCGCGGGGCATGCTTCGCAAAAAGGCAGCTTGACCCTGGAGCCATGGCGCGCGGCAACAGCAATGGCAACAGTGATGGCGGGGCCGACGCGAACGACTGCGACGACGCGCGGCGCCCGTGTTCATAGTTGTGCTTGCGGGGGCTCTCCCGCCGAACTCGGGGATATTTCCGCGGCGTCTTGGATGCCGCTCGAGCCGTCTTCGGGACCTGGGTTGCGGGCCTGAGGCCGCCATGCCTGGGTGGTGTGCCAGTGGCCTGCTGGGTGCCTGTTGGGGTATGCGCGGTGGAAGTCTTTCGGAGACGTCCTGGAAAACTTTCGGGGGCCTCTCGGGTACTTCGCGTCTTCCTCTCAGGGCCTCTTGGGAGCCTCTTGGGGACCTTTCGGGGGCCTCTTGGAGGCATCTTGGGGCTTCCTGGGGGCGTCTCGAGGGTCTCTTGAGAGCTCCTGCGGGCTTCTCCGGAGATTCATGTGGGCGAGGGCTTGAAATGCGGTTCGTGTTCCCCCTTCTGGGGCCCCTCCCGGGGCGTTTTGAAAGCCCTTTTCGGCCGTCTTGGGAGCATCTTGGGCCGTATTTGGGCCCTCTTGGGCTGTTTCGGCGCTCTCTTGGAAGCGTCTTGGCCCGTCTCCGGGTCATCTTTCGGGCCTTCTGGGCCATCTTGGAGCGTTGGGAAGCCGAGCTGGGGAGAACGCTCCAATCCTACAAAATCCGATAATACATCAATGACTTCTGTCTCTTCGGCCCTGCTTGGGGGCGCTGTCGGAGGCCTGCTGGCGCGCTTCGGTCGCTTTTTGGTAGATCTTGGAGCCATCTGGGGCCGTCTGCGAGTGCTCCCGGGCCGTCTCGGACCTCCCTTGGGCTGTCCTGAGGGAGTCCTGGAGCCGTGCGAGGCGGCCCCGGGAGCGCCCTGGCGAGACCGGGAGGGGGGGGGGGGCACGGCCGCTCGGCAAAGCGCCCCCCCCCCCCCCCCCCCCCCCCCCGGTCCAGGACCCCCCATATCTCTTTTTTTTTTTCTCTCTCTCTCTCTCTCTCTCTCTCTCTCTCTCTTCTTTTTCTCTCTCTCTCTCTCTCTCTCTCTCCTCTCTCTCTCTCTCTCTCTCTCTCTCTCTCTCTCTATATATATATATATATATATATATATATAATGCAGCCGCCACCGCGGCTAGACCGCCAACGAGGAGTCGCGCCCTCGCGAGGAGGCGCGTCGAGCGCGAATGCCCCTCAGACAAGCCGTTCCCTGCAGTCTGCCCGTCGCGCGACGCGCCTCGCAAAATGCAAATAATAATCGGATCACGTCTTGCCAGTCTTTCTTCTGGACGTTGCCATCGTCGGTCGTCTCCCGGTCGAAGCCGAACTGCTCGAGCCCCCCGCCAACTCCGCCGCCGCGCCGGGAACCGCGGCGTCGCCTGAGGCCGCTGAGATAGCGCCCACCGCGACATCATTCACCATCTCCGCCTCTTTGAGGGCGCCCCTCAAAAACTTGCCCATGTCTGAAAACTGGAAGCCTTGCTTGATGAAGTGCGCCTCTGCGTTCTTCAGGTCGGTGCTGCACATGTTCGGCCTTGGCCGCCGTAGAAAAACATTACCCCTAGTAGTCACCGCGATGCTAGTCCGAATGTCCCCTTCAAGTCCACGACCTTCTTGTGCTCGACGATCGTGCCCTGGACGGTCGCTACGCGCCCCGAGTCCTTATCGAACTGCAGCGTCAACTGGTAGGTCGCCGAGGCGATGCGGCACGTCGGCATAGCCGCCTTGTCCAAACGGCTCGCAAAGCGCCATCTTCTCTTCACCCCCCTTGTCTACGACCGTCTCGATCCACGGGCGCGCGGCCCAATCGCCGTTCACCGCCGCGGGGGCCGCGACCTTGAAAAAGGCGCGGGCATCCGCGCAGCCCCGGACTGCGTCGGACGTCGCGATCCATGCAGTGATTGCGTCCTCGTAGGCATTGTTCATCTTCGGGCCCACCTCCTTCCTGTCCAACTCGCGGTTGCGGGTGCTGGACTGGAGAAGCTGGCGGCAATCGGCGGCTGCCCCAGCGGTCTCCTGAGGCTCGCGGGCTCGTCCTTGGACAGACGGGCCAGGACTGCCACGGCATTGTCGCGCGCCTTGGCTGCGTTCAAGATCTCGCTGCACTTCTTCGGAAAGAAGCCCTTCAACTGGGTGGCCAACCTGGCGATGCCGTCATCGACGCTCGTTCGGACGCCCAGCGCATTATTGAAGGCCTCCGCCACTGTCTTCTCGATTGAAGCCGACGGCAACGTCGCCGGGGCCTTCGCGGCCTCAGACCTGCGGGCGCCCGGGGACGCGTCGACGATGCCGATGCGCCCCCGACGAAAACTGACGAACGCAACGACCAGACCGCGCACGGAGGACGCCGAGGTAATCCGCGTCGTCTACCTTCGTTACTGCGTTGCCGACGTCGCAAAGGAGATCGAGCCTGGCACGGCACCAGAACATCAGTTTACTCCATGGCCGACCCCTGTCAAACGCCCCCCCCCCAAGTTGTCGCGGAAGAACGCCAGCTGCGACGCGCGCGAGAGAGGATCCGCGGCAATTTCAGGGCCCTCGCCCTGCTCGTAGCCGCCAGGCGGAGGGCGGCCCAGCATCGACTAGATGACGCGCGGGGCGAGGGCATCGCCAATGGCCCCCTCGATCACTTCGGCGACGTCGGAGATCAGCTTGTCGAACTACGATCTGACGATCGTAGTGTCTATGTCCTGCGAAGCTGCGTCGCTGTCCATGTTGGTCAGCAGCTGCGCTGCCTCCAGAAGCTTCGCAGGCTTGCCCTCATCGATCAGGCGCCCGACCAACTGCGGGGCGCCCCCGAGATTCCCTGTTCGATGTCTTTGAATTCGGCCCAGGCGGCCTTGAGACGAATCGCAACTGGCTGCAGGTCGACCCCCGCGGCAACGACATCCCCCACCGCACCTCAACAGGTAACTCCGAGATGGGCGGGCCCACCCTTCCCGCTGGAGACGGTTCGGAGCCTCAAGCTGACATGCGACTACTTGCCCAGCGCAACCTTGGCAATCGTGGCGATCTGGGGGCCGCTGTCGACGCCGTGCTTCAAGAAACCCTAGACGGACGCGCCGAGGCTCAAGTCCACGTAATCTCGGGCAGGCCAACCAACAGGTGCCACCCAACCCGAGAAGTAGATCTCGGTGGCGTTAGGGGCGGCCGAGTCGACGAGGACACTCCGCGTTCTCTGGAAATGCTCTGTGGATGCGGTGGAATCTTTTCGGCGAGCTCCAGGGCGATGCGCTGCTGGGCGTTGTCGCGGCACGACTCGGGAAGGAGGCCGCAATTCATCGACTCGCCAATCGAAAGCATTGCGAACCTCGAGATAGATCCGGCCACCGAAATTGCATGTGAATCGATGCCGAGCTCTCCAGGCCCAGAAAACTCCATCTTGGATATTGCCGCGACGCCAGCGGCGACAAAGACTTTCGCCAACTGCGGGCTCAACTTCTGGACCATGTGCTTCTGAGCCGCGTTGGGCTCCCAGCCCAGGAACGCCGCCGGACTATCGCGGGCTTCCCCGAAAAGTGCCGCGATGAACTTCAGGCGCTCCGACTCGCCCAAGAGATTCTGCGCCATGCTGATCACGCCCCCCCCCCCCCCTGGGCCTCCGCTTCCACGCTGCGCGCGGGGGCGCTAATTCGACGCATTCGTGAGCAAGTCGACCCGCGACTGCAAATGCCGGGCCCGCGGAGGGCGGCCCCGCATCTGAGCGTAAACGAACTTGTCCCTAGTCATGCTAAAGGGGTCCCTGCACGCGCCCAAGACCTTCTCCGCGTTGCGTGACCTCAGCTGGCCCGTAATACACGACGTCTGTGCGGCGTCCTCTTTGCCCTTAGCCTCCTCCGCGATGGGCCCGACTTCCGATGGGGCCATCAGTCGTTGCCGCCTTGCTCTTGCCCTTGTGGAAAGCCTTCTCGAGCTTGAGCTCGAAGTTGGGCGCCTCCTGCCGGGCGTCGACTCGTCGACGCGCGGCGGCGCAGTCATGGGAGTAAGGCCCCCCCCTGCGCGATGGGGCCTCGCTCGATCCGCGGGCGTGCCCGACGCCTTTCCGCGCTTGGGGCTTCGGCGCGGCCGGCGGGCTGACCTCGGGGGCCCCCGCGCCGGCGCTCGAAAGCGCCGCGCTCATCTCGACCCCGCGGCCACTCTCGGCCCCGGCGTCCTGCAGCTCCGCGAGAAGCCTCGGCGGCGATGTCATCAGTCCCATCCTCGAACTTGAAAATATCATTGGAAGGCGTCACCACCGACGTTCCCTCTCCACGCGCGTGCGATGCCCCCTGCGGCAGGTTTTGTTATTTTGTTTTGTTCTGCTCCGGGGGCGGCGAACATGCCCTGGGCGACTTCAACGCCCGGGTAATTCTCGCGAGGCCTGGATTTCAGCCGCCGGTTATTCCGGCCGCGGAAGTTCTGCTGAGGGTCGAGAAGACGAAAATAATCCGTAAGCTTGAATACATAAGCCTCGACGAAGTTATCCTTGAAGTCCTCGGGGGCGCGCGCAACCTCGGTGCTCTGATTGCCCCCCATCGAGCCCGGCGCGCTTGGCATCGCCGCGCGCGCGAACGCCGCTGGCCCTGGGGCGCCCTTTTGCTTCTCATCCTTCTGCCTATTGCCCGCGACGTCGCTCAGGCGCACGGGGTCGCCTGCCCCATCATTGAGAAACTTCCTTCGGGGGAACCTGCGGGCGTCTCGCTCTCTACCGGGCGGCTTCCACGCGCCGTCCTGCTGCACATTGTCCTTCGCCCATTTGATCGCCAACCCGTTGGGGGGGGGCCTTGTCGATGTCCTCGCACTGCTGGTCGCGCTCCAAGCGCGTCAAATCGACGTCGCCCTCGACGCGGCACCCCTCGTCATCTGGCGCAGTCGAAGGCCTCCTCGCCCTGGATGTGGCAGCGGACGGCGGGCCCAAAATGGGGCGAGGGGGAGGAGGGGGATCAGGCGGGGGACGGGGCGGAGGGCGCGACCCCCACGCAAAAGCACCGACTGGGGACATCTGCGTCGCGGCGGGGCCCGGGCCGCGGCAAACCTTCGTCTCCCCCATCGCGCGCCCTTTCCTGAGATGGCGTCCCTTCGTCCTTCGTCGGCCCTCGTTCCTCCTCCCCACTGTGGCGCCTGGGCGCCAAATCGCAGGCTCTGGAGACGCGCGGGCCCCGAGGGGCCCCGGCCTCGGCCCTCTGTCGCCCGCCCCAGACCCCCGCGCCGGAGCCTCGGCCCCTTCGAGGCGGCCCTCGAGCCCCTCAGGGACAGAAGCCCCCCCCCCCGCTGCCGCGCAAATCGGGGCGCAGCCCCGAGCCCGGGATTGGCCGCGAGCGAGCCGGGGGCGCTGCCGATATGAAGCAAGGCTAAGACCAACCTAAGACCATCCTCCTCGCGCGCCGTGCCGGCGGTCCTGATGGCATGCCCTCTGCGGCGGTCAAACTTCTCGATGTTGTAGACCTTGAACTTAAACGACATCCCTGCAGCGACCGCAGCAGGGCCCACGCCGCATCGCATCAGAAACGACCGAATAGCCAACTGCCACCTTCGACCACTACCTTCGGCCTGAATGCATTAGCACGTCCGTCCACACGCTCCAAACGAAGAAAGAAAATAGTGCTACATTTGCCGAATGTGTCTGCGAGAACGCAATGGTTGGTCAGGTCGCTCAAGCTGATCGACGTAGTCGCGGGAAGCATTGGTCGTGAGATGCGCCATCGCTTCAGAAGTGCGTAGATATTCCCAACCCCGTGCGATGCTGCAGGTAGCCAGCGGTCCAGCGTGCAGACCCCCCAGTTCTTGGAATGGCATGACCGCGATGGAATGGCTGTACCTGGCGGGTTGCCAGCCGGTTTCTCGTCGCGGCCGAAAACGGAATTGACCCTCCCTTTGCAAGTCGCATCTGCAATGCACCTTGGGTGGTCGCAAAGTTGATGAGCAACACGAAATGCCAAGTCCGCAATCCCATGCTGGGTGTGATTCGACCTCTTGGAAGACTTGGACAAACAGTCTCTGCGTTGACAGGTCGCGATCAGCTCGATGGCCAGGTCGTCTAGCACGTCCGCCGTGGTCTCAGACTTTGCTGCCGCGTGCCCTTCATAAAGCGCACTATATTCATCTGATGCCGCAGACCACGCGCCCTTGGCGCGGCCCTCTTCCACATTAAACCCTGGGCTGTCGATAGCTCCTGCCGGGGCTCGGCAGCGCCATCGCGACGTCCTCCTTGCGCGGGGGATCGCCATTCAATGCCCGGCATAGAAGGCGCCAGAGTTCGCGCAGCTCCTCGACCAAGGCGGCCCGCAGCTCCCCCCGCAGGTCCCGCGCCCAACTGTCCGGGAACTCAGCCGGATCTGTCTCATTGGCCTGTTCCAGCTTGGCCGGCGCCACTCGCAAGTCTCTTCCATGCTCGACGCCCCGCGCCGACTCGACCATCTGGATACCGCGTCGGGCCCGCTTAAACCAATTGTCTCCATGTGGGATGCGGGTCGCTGGCGCGCTTCCAGTTGGTCATCGCCAGGCAGCCGGCGGTTGTCGAAGTCCCCATCGCGCGCCGGGGCGCAGTCCGCAACGCTGATATCGCGGGGGGCCGGTCCCGAAGGCCAGCGCCGCGAAACCGCGGGCGACCCGGGTGGGCACGAGCGCGGGCCACTCCATGGCCTTCAGCCTTCAGGGTGCCCCTGGAATTGGCGCACATCCGCTTCGGCGGGTCCATCGCGCCCCGGCCAATGATGGCCACGCAGGCCCCCACCTCCAGGGCGTCACGCACCCTCGCCAGGTGCGCACCCAGCACCTCATCCCGACCGACCCCAGCCAGGTTGCCATGCGGCTTGCGCTCGCCCTCGGCAGCGCGAGCCGCTCGTTCAGTCGCGCGGGCTATCTGCCCGATGGCTCTCGCCATCTCTGACGCGCCGACTCCCAGAGAGGCGCCGTCGCCACTTGGGCCTCCCACGCGTCCGCCCCCGGTCGCCCCCTCGCAGCAAGCGCCCCAGGCCTCGGCTGAACGCCCCGCCCCCCCCCGACGGAGGGCTTCGGCCGATGTCAGGCGCGAGGCCCCGCCCCCGACGCATAGGGCCCTGACGTCGAATGGCTAGCAATCCCCGCGGCTGGCGCGGGCCTGTGCTCGCGCCGAACAGACCCCGCGCCAGCTCGCGTTCTCCGCGCGGCGCATGCCCCCTCCGACCCGACGATCGGCCCCGAGAACTGGCGCGTGGAAGCGGCGCCGCCGCCGGGCCCATGTCGCCGCCGCGCCTTGCGGCCCGGCCTCGCCGAGCCCGGCAGCACTCGGCCAGGGCCTGCTGGACGTCGGCCCCCGCCGCCCCAGCGGTGGCCCGGCGCGCCGCCCCCCCGCGGAGGTCGCGCCCCGCCTGGCCCGAGGTCGCGCCCATGACCTCGGCCACCGCCCCCAGAGCAGCGAAAGGGGTCGGCGCCGCCGCGCGGGGCCGACGCGAGAATATCGACTGGGCCCAGCGCCCCGTCCTCCTCGTGGTCAGGTCAGGGGGCAAACCGGGCGGCGGCGGCAGCGGGGGCGGGCGGGGCAGGTCCCCCTCCGTGCTGTCGCGGGTGGGCGCCAAAGCCCCGCCTCGGTGGCGGTGGCCCGGCAGGCGCCTCGCATCTCGCTGCAGCGTGCCCCGTCGCGCAGGGCTGCGATGCCGCCGCTGGCGACCCCCGGCGGCATTCACCTCCGCGCCGCCCCGCGGATGCAGACGGATATGGCCCGCGAGCACGCAGGGGGCGCGTTGCGCCACGACGCGCGCTCCCAGCTCGCACATGCCCATCGGGACCTCGTAGAGCAGAGGTGTGATCCAGTCGGCGTCGCATCGCCCCTCGCCGACTGGGCTGGGTGCTGCAGCGTGATGTCAGAGGCCTGCGCTTCAACCTGCATGCCCTCCAGGCTTGTCTCGACCCGGCGCGTCGCCGGATGGCCCGCGCGTCTCGACGCCCTCGCGCTCGCCCAAGAATTAAGATGCAAGGGCTGGGCCCCCGCCCCGGCACGCTCACCGAAACTCGGGCACATGTCTACCATGAAGTTCTCCTAGAGCCATTGCTGCGCCAGCAACCTGTTGGCCGCGCGCCCTCTTCCCGCCGACCGCGAGCAATCGCCGCTCTCAGGCTCGGCGGACCTCAGCCGTTGCTGCGCGGGCGTGGGCGGCGACGCCGCCCGGCGTGCGGGGGGGGCCCTGCCCCGCGCGGGTGACCGTCGTCGCCCTCGGCTTCCGCCTCGGCGCCCAGCGAGGCCACCCCAAAGGTCACCCCTCGTGGGGCTGCCGACGGCGCCACCACTGCTGGGGGCGCGAACTGGAAGGCGGACGCTGCTCCGGTAGACCCCAACCCTGCGGGTTGCGGCAGGCGCCCCTGCGGCCGGGATGCCCAACCCTTCGCCGGCCCCGGGCTAGTTCCCCGCCGCCGCAGACGTTTCCGCGGACCGTCGAGTAGGCCAGGGCGGATCGTCGACCCCACCCGCAGGGCGGCTCCGTTGCCGCTGCCCAGGTGCTCCCCGCACACGGAGGCAGCATGGGAATTATCCTGGGCTGCCCGGTGGCGCGTCGGCATGCTGCATCTGCGTCTCAGCAGCGTCGATCGGTACTTCTGCGCGCGATGGGCGCACGAGCAGATCTGCGCCATCTCCCCGGCCCGCGGCGCGGGCGCGCCAGACGCCGCCGCGTCCTCCGCCGGCGGAGCCGCGGGGTCCACGAGCACTCGGCCCGAGCACCCCTCCGACTGTAGAGGGCGGGCTCCGTCCGCTCGCCAGCGGCGCGCCTGCGCGCTCCTCCGCATCGTTCTCGCTCTCCGAGTCTGGGGCGAACGGCCGACCGCCCAATTTGCGCAGCCCCAGGGCCACGGCGCGACGGGGCGGCGCTGCTCCGTGCTCTGCGACATCCACGATCTGCGAGCCATCGATGGCCGCGCACTGGTCAACGCGCATCGGGCGCGCTGCCGTACGCCCCGCCGCCCGACAGAGGTGCACGTGGCCAAGAGCTTCCAAATTCGCCCTCCAGGCACGGCTCGTGCAACCCAACACCTGATCATCATGCACCGTCGAGCCGCGTCGATCGAGGCGAGGCTTCGACAAGGCCACCCCCGGGCTCGCTGCTGCGCTGAAATTGCGGGGCACTCGGGCCACCTGCCCGCGCACGCGCAGCAGTGGGTGGTTCGGGGCTCGGTTAGCGCCCCGTCCGCGGACCCCTTTGTTGAAGCAAACGGTCTCGGCATCCCCGCCCACTCCAGGCCCGCGGGATCGCGCTCGCTGAAATGTTGGCGGGGGCGGCGGGAGGGTCGACTCCGGCCCCGCGGGCCTTCGGCCGCAGCACGCTGCAAGCTGTCCTAGCGCCCGGGCTATCCCAACATAGCTCAGGGCCAGCGGCGCCATCATCGCGTTGATGCAATAGGCGGCAGTACCCAGCAGGAACGCGAACATGGCCACCATCACGCTAGGCGTGGCCGTGCCCCACCAGTAGCCCACAAATTTCACGCCCAGGCTGTTCACCGCAAATCCTACCCGTCCCCCGCTCTGCCTGAGCGTGCCGACGCGCTCTGGCGTACCTAACCAAATCCTCAAACCGCTGACCTCGACGGCCCAAGCCGTGAACCCCCAAAGCCTCGCGGGCGCGGGTTCGCCGGGCCCGGCCGAAAGCGGCGCGCCGTGCATAGGCACGTCCGCCTCCTCGGAACGCCACCAAATCGGCACGGTCGGCAACCATGCGCGCCACCCCTCGCTGCCTGAGCCGGGTAATTCCTCCGATGCTGCAGGCTCGGGGCTCACTCCCGCGGAGCCCCGCTACCCCTCCACGGCGCGTCCCGTAGGCGTAATTGTGGTCGTAGTCGTGGTGGTAACAATCGTCGTGGTACCGAGATGTCGCCCATTTCCGGCGTCTGGCGGCGAGGTGGGCGACCGCCCCTTCCCAAGCCCTGTGCTCTCATTCGCGGCTGGCGGTTTCGCTCCAGGCCCCCCGTGCCCCTCGCCCTGAAGGCTGGGAATTGCGCCGAGGGGTGCGGTAGGCCCTGATACCCACCTTATGTGCTCGGTCGCCGACGACGTGGGATCCACGCCGTTCACCCCTCCACCGAACGGCCACCAAGTGTTGGCCCGGCTCGTCAGTAGTCCGCCGATGAGGATCACCGCAGCGTGCACCACGAGGCCCTAGCTAGGGCCCCATCGCCGCGCGGCCCCCCCCCACTGCGCGCGAGCGGAATTTCAGCCGGACACGGCCCATTGGCCCAACCCAAAGGTCTCCAGCCCGAGTGGCTGCAGAGACTAAAAAGGGGAACCCAAAGAGTCCCCACTCCCGCTGCACATAGCCTGCAGTCTAACTGGCAAACTATACAACAAAATTCGCCACGCAAACATGCCGATCATGAAATACAGCCGACGCTGCAATGGAAGCGCTGAAACATAGCTTTGAGAAACAAGTTGGAATCCTGCGTGTGACAAGATATATGCGAGAGGGGGTGCCTGCGCACAGTATCAGGGGAGGGAAGCGACTAGTGCGTGTAAAGGAGATAAGGAGAGTAAGGGGAGGGGGAGGGAGGAAGGGACGGATGGGGCAAGATTGATCATGGGAGAGGCGGGATGGGGGAGGGAGGCAAGAGTAACGGGAGGAGGAGGAGGAGGAGGAGGAGGAGGAGGCGGAGGAGGAGGGAGGTATGAGAGGCAGAGCAGGGATGAGGGAGGAGAGACGGAGGAGGAAGGGGAGCAACAGGTACAGGGCTCTGCCGTCCTCCAAGGCCGCTCCAGGAGCAAGAGGAAGGGGGCTCTGTGATCTCCCACGCCGTTCTGGGAGGAGGGGAGGAGGGGGGAAAGCGAAAACAATAGTTGGTGCGAGAAGAGGCGGTACGCCAAGTTCGTGTCGTGCCGACTTCGGCGTTGGTTTCTGACACCGCGGGGATCTTTCAACCTTGAACCTTCACCGTTTCCGAAACGTCCAATTCGTTCCACATCGAACGATTCTGGGTCGCCCGCGGCATTCAACGTTGAACGCCGCTGGCAAGGTCGCCGCCGGTCGACACGACACGAACCTACCGTAGGCTGGCCCAGGGAGCGGCAAGAGGACCAGAAGCAGAATCAGCAACACCAGCAAGTCGGTGACGAAGAATACATCATTTCGTCACTCTTTCTCCCTCGGAAAAACTTGCGGCAAGGGCGGTCAAATACACAAGCGCAGACCTTGCCAAATCTTGCCAGCCGGGTGCACGCAAAAACGGCTACTGCAGCCTCAATCAGAACCGGCATGAATTCCTTTTTATGCTTCATTGCTTCCGCTCATCCCCACACCCGCCTGACCCACAGAGAGGTGCAAGGGACACGTGTTACTACCTCGCTGGAGTGTGCATTCAAATGTGCTTGTGCTTGAAAGACGGCACAACAACTGCCGATTCGAGGCCCCGGCCTTTGTCGCACGTTCGTGGATCTGGCCTTCCACACGCATCAAACCGATCCGCCATGACCCAGGCTGTACAGTCATCGCGCTGCCATAAGGAACGCATACTACTACGAAGGGGCGTTTCTGGCCACTGCGGACACTTCATGAATCTGAAGAACGCCCCGGAACCACGAGCCACCAAAATTGTCCTTACGCTGGCGCCTTGACTGTATATCTGCAACACATCCACATTTCCTGTCAAGCACGCACGCGGCAGCCGCCTTTCTCGCGCATCAAGTCCAAGAAATGATTGACCTCCTTCTTCACGTCGAGCGAGACTTCCCGTGGTCCCTTATTCACGGTCGTCGCCCTTCTCCTCGACGCTACCGCAGCAATAACGGTATGATATCAAACACTCGCGATTAAAAGGATCGGGAGTGAGCGTGCAGACAATCCGCCTCCCTCTCCTGGCGATGCCGCTGGACCTGCATTCACACAAAGGGCAACGCATTGATACGGCTGTATGGGGGCGAGCCTTTCCAAGCTTAGCACGTTGGACACATTGTTCACAAAACGACAACGGCGCTTAGTGGCTTTGTCCGTGTTTGCTGCGGCTGTACGGGGGTGAGCCTTTCCGCTTGTTGCGAGTCTGGAAAATCCGTACAAAAACAACAACTTTCGTGAGGTTGCCCGTTCTAGCGATTCCGCCCGAGGACTTCCCTTTAGCTTCCAGGACATAGCCTGGCGGCGGTGCCGGCGGTACTGCTTTCATACTGGACGCTCGCACGTGTCATATACCTCCAGCAGGAGGCAACACTTTGATATTTTATGAGGCCTGTACGGAGGTGAACGTTCCCCAACATTGCACATTGGAGAAGTATTGCGTAATGGAACGGCAACTCTTGACTTCGTGACCTTGTCCTTTCCAAAAGATCCGTTGCCAAACCAGACGATGGAACGGCAACTCTTGATATCGTGAACATGTCCGTTCTAGCGATTCTGCCTCCAACAGAAGATTTAGCCTCCTTGACACAGCCCAGCGGCAATGCTGGCGGTCCTGCATTCACAATGCACGCTGTCGCGAAGGATTTCTCTCTTCAAGGCAGCGCCTTAATCTGCCCTGGCTAAATGTGGGTGCGCCTTCACGAGTCTAGCACCGTTCTGATAAAACGGCCCCTCTTTACTGTGTGGGCTTGTCCGTTCGAGCGGTTCCGTCCCCAGACGAGGCACTAACCTCCAGGCCATAACCTGGCGGCAATGCCAGCGATCCTGCGCTTAGAATGAGTGCGCGCAGGTGCTATCTGCCTTCACAGAGAGGCGCTTTTATACTTCATACGACTGTATCGAGGTAGCCTTACCCAATTTAGCACGTTGAACAAACTTTGATCATGGAACGGCAACTCTTTACTTCGAGAGCTTGTCCGTTCTAGTGATACGGTTTCCAACAGATGCTATATTCTCTGGGAGACGACCCGGCGGCAACGTCGGCGGTCCTGCCTTCACAATGCACGCTCGCATTACGCATTTACCTCCGCGGGTCAGCGCCGTGGCACGGCCTTCCTAAGTCTTGCGCATGTGACGAATGATTTCATGTCGCGGCGGATACCAGACATTGGAGCACAACTGATTTGCGCATTTTCGACTCGATGTCCTCAAATGTGTCACTTAATTGGTGATACTAATGTATCCGTCAAACTGTGGCAGTGGCTCTCCCGCAGGGCAGCACCCTGACACGGCTGTATGGGGGTGAGCCTTCCCCAGTCTTGAACATTTGAAGAATTTTCTTGTCGCGGCGAATGGCATACGCATTCTGGTTCAATTTGTTTGCGCATATCCGCCTCCCTTTCCCTAAATGCGTTCCTTTTTTCCTATAATACAATGAACCCCCTCATGCTAGGGCATTGGCCCTTCCACATGCCAAAACCCTGATACGCCTGCATTGGGGTGCGCCTTCATCGGCCTAGCAGGGTGGAAACTTTGATCGTAGACCGGTATGTTTGTAAATCGTGAGATTCTCAATGATCACCGATCCGTTCCCACACGAGGCGTTGGCCTCCAGGACACAGCCTGGCGGCAATGCTGGCAGTCCTGCGTACCCACCATATGTGCGTTGCCCATTCTTGACGAGATTGTCACAACGAAGTGAACAGAGGTGGCTGTCACTAGGAATGCAGAATGCTCATGTGTACCACAAGACAATGTGAAGTACCTACAACGGTACAGCATGTGCACCATCATGAGCGAACAATGGGACTTCCCAACTTCCAACAACACCAAAGATCAAGGATGGGAAACCCCAAGTGCCCCACCCGACATTCAAGCAGTTATACCGACCCTGAAAGGTATCAGGGCTGCCCTACAATCCCCCTCGTCCGCTTCCTCGCCTGATCATTATACCTCGTGCCCCTCTTACGTATCTCACTTGATGTCGGCCCGTGGTGGGCGGAACGTGGCTGCCCATGAAGTATCACGTGCATCTGCCACTCGACGGGTGAGTGGTAGCAGCTTGCTGCCAATGTCGAAGCTGCATGGCGGTGTCGTGATGGAGAAAAGAGGTGCTGTTCGTCGTCATCGTCGTCCTCCTCCTCGTTGTCTTCCCCCCTTGGCCCCCTCCCATGCTCCCAATAGTTTTTGAAGCGAGCCGGGCTCCATGGGCCCACATAGCCATTGTCGCGCTCGAACTCCTTCCGCCTTTTCTCAAGGTCGTCGTCGAAGCCAAGTGCCTGTGGCCGTTACACGCGATCCCTCCGCCTTCGTCCTCCGTCCTCCGTCCTCCTCCGTCCTACTCCTCCTCTCTCCTCCTCCCTCGGGCTCCTCCCTCCTCAATCCCCCCTGGAAGCTGAACAGAAAAATCATGACGAAGATGGGACTGTGTTCTGCAATAAGCGGTCAACGATAAAAATAATTACACAGGTGTGTCACACCGCCTGACGTATAGGTTGGAATGGCATGGACCAAACGCAAAGCGGTTGCACAATAACCTGGCGTCCTACGTCGAAGCCCCCCCCTCGACCTGGTGCTCCAGGTCGGGTCGGTTACGTGCAATTCCTACATTTTTTCGCATCGCGGGTGGAAGCCACACATAATTCGATATCACGAAAGGGATAACCTATGCATTGCGTGGCGAGTGGTGGAAATGAGCTCGAGGTTTGCACGCAGCGTGGACTCTCCTAGGCAAATTAGCGCGCGCGGGAAACAACGCAAGAGCTAAAAAGGCTGAATCTGACAGTCTGAATGGCGCAAACGACGAAGCAGCGACACAAATGACGAGCGGCGCGGCGGGATCTCTGCACCATGTATATTAGCCACCGCCGCCCCGTCATCAACACTCACTTGCAATGACCTAGGTTAATGTCGCGACAAACCTTGGCAATGCCCGCGTCAGTGCGCGCGAACTCCTCTTCGCGGCTGGGTGTCCTGGTGCGCGTGCGCGCCCGGGCTAATCCTCATCGTAGCCGCCGCCGTTCGAGGCGCCGTCCTCCTCCGCGCTGTCGGCCCAAACCCCCCGGCATTCATAAGGGTGGGTCTGGGGCTGCGTCTTGACTGGCTGGTCATTGATCCCGTTGAACTTGCTGGCGGCCTGCCACTAGGTGGAGTCTGGGCGCCTGCCGACACGGGGCGAGGCCCACCCCGGACTGCGGCGCCCCCGCCCGCGCTCGCAGGCCGTGCCCGAGCGAGGGTCGACGGCCCGAGACTTTTAATGGTCCTAGGTGATAGTCACCATGGGGACCAAGGCTCGCCGCGGGATCAAACTGCCGGGCTGGTGGCCGCGGACTAGGGGGCCGCGGCGGTCCAGGGCCCCACCCCCTCGGCGATGCATCTGCCCAAGCGGCTCGCGCCTGCGCGTCGTCGCGGACGACGCCGCGAGGCGCCGCGCTAGTTGCGGCGCCCCCGCCGGCTAATGCCCGCGAGGCGCTCTGATGGTCGCGCCGAAATTATTGCAATGGATATCCAGACCGCCGCCAATCGCGGGGAGCTCCTGCGCCAGCGCCCTGATTCGGGAAACCGCTGCAACCGCCCCTGTTCGGATCGCACCGTGATCGCTAGACGTCGTTGAATCGCTGTAGAGAGAATTTGATGGCCATCGCCATGGCGTTGCCTGCCCGACCGACTCCAAACCAAATGGTTTTCATATCACTACAATCTTGCTACTGGGGCTCGGGCGCGCATTGTTGGCGCGCGCGACGCGCGCCTGGGCCGCGCCGCCGACGTTCCAAACGCGCGCCGGGCGGGGGGTGCACATCGTAACCACGGGACCACAACAACCGCCGACGTCGTCGGACAAGTCAGCTGCGCTGGACATCGCTGGCTTTTCTCAATCGCCACTCCCTTCCCCGCGGTAGCCCTCTAGTGCGCGGCGCCACTCTGACTGGCCCTGGAGATAGGCCCGCGGCCGCCAGCAGTGAACGCAGCCGCGTAACCTGTCGAACGCGCCGCGGAGATGTCCACCTCCATCCTCGGCGATGACGCGACTCAGCGGGCATTCCAGGTCACGGGCCCCGAGGTTCACCCAAACTCTGAATCGGTCGCCCCGCCACCTCCTGATCGCCACAACCAGGTGCATGGCCCCGGCAAGGCCCCGCGACATTGGGGCCGCGGTTCGGGCGGCGCCGCGGCGGGAATAGACCGCCCCGTGGTTCGACGAGGCGCCCGCGAGGTGACATCGCGCGATCAGCGTAAGCGACGCGGCGAGAACGCGCCCGCACAGCTCCGCACATCGCGCCCCGCGACATGCGCAGCGAAAAAGAACCCGCGGGGTGGCTCCGAAAGCAGCGAGGCCAGTCTTTCTTGACCTGTCCACGGGCGTTGCGTCCTCGGTTTCCTTTTCTGCCGACACTCTCACGCTTGGTTACGTCGTCCTCTGGTTCTTGCATCGGACGCGGCGTCTCCGCGGGTGAACTATGCCCCAGGTCTCCCGTTTTGACCGCCCGGCCAGGATTCATCTTGTTAGCGTTGCTGGCCCTTGTTTGCTGCGCGGGGGGCTGTGGCCAGCTTGCGCTGTCCGCGCGGGCCCGGGCCCCCGGGCCATCCCCGGGTCGGGGAGACGTAAGACCCGGGTACGGGGGACTCGGAAATCCCCGACGAGGTCGTCAAAAAAATGACGAGGCCGAGCCTGCATTTTGACGAGGCCTCCCGCTGCAGACATCCCACGAAACTCCGCCTCGTCAAAATCCGAGGCGCGGTCGTCAAAAAACGATGGCGAACCCGAGTCCCGGCAAACCCGGGTCTTGCGCTCCCCCGACCGGGGGGCCGCGGGGCCCGCGCGCGCTCGAGCGGCCTCGCAGGTTGGGAGG